TGGACTCAGCAAACAACTGCAGAACACACGATAAACAAAATTAGCTATCAAATGGGACAAAAATACATTCCCATAGAAAGCGCCCAACTATGTTGGCCGATTAAATTGAGCAGCAGTAATCCGCCAGCTGAGTGCAATCCGAAGTGCAGAGCAGGGAGAATGCAGTACAAATCTTAAGATTTCTCAATGTGTAACAATCCATTTTGATGTAGGATTTACTCAACGGAGTGATGGGACCATAGCCAGACCCAGGGTTAGAAGTGAATGGTCTTCTCTCTTTCCCAGTGTCCTTGATAACAGATAACATGTACACTGCTATTGAGTAGCTGTATCTCCTGTGTCATATGACCCCCTTGGCTATGGCTTGGCTTGCTCTGAGGGCACCTCAGAAGCTGTGTGCCAAATTTTAGTTTTTACTTTATGTTGGACAGAACTTCAGGCATTACTTTGGAGTTGCCTCACTGGAGCCAGAGTTGGTCTTTTGTCTGTGTCTAACTGTATAAAATTCCCTAGGGCAAAATTACAAATGCAATAATGCCTGGTTATAAACTGTTTACTTGGTCTCATTTAGGCTTACAAAAATTTTGGAATGAAATATTAAATAGCTATTTAACAATCCAACTTGCATAATATTTAATGTTTCCTGATTTTAAAAAAACAAACAGCAACAACAACCAAACCACATTTGGAGTCAAACACTGCTACTTCAATTCTATTTTTATTTACTCAGGAAAAAATACATTTTGTTTAGTCTCTCTTACACTAGCAATAACTTTTTGTTTATTTGTTTGTGTGTTTATATAGATTGTTTGTTTAAAACCAGAAAATTTTTTTTTTTGCCACCTTTTCCTAGAGAAAAAAATTGCCCTAAAACAACTCAAGACCTTAACTTGGCATCCTTCAGTCTTGTTCAAATGAACACTATCTGAGATCGGACTCAAGTTAGTAGAAGGGCAAGAAAAGTTTGCATTTATCATAAGCCTGAAATTTTTGGTCACACTTGTGGCCTTTTCTTTGGGGCCTATAATTTTTTTTAATGTGAAAAAACTTAGCCTCTCTTCCAGGAGTTTAACATATTAGAGAAAATGAGCAAAAGTGATAACTCTGTATGTTAGAGCCATGGGAACTAGTAAGGCTGACTTGTCTGTAGCTGGCTGATCTTGGGAAAGAGATCTGGAGCGGAGAGCAAGGGAAGGGAGCTTGTCAGAGGGCTGAGATTCAGTGTCAGGTCAGTTAAAGCCTTTTTACACAAATACAGGAATGTGATAAGTGTTGAAGTCAATGCCTTTTTAATATCTTCTTCGTATCACTCAGAAGTGTCCTTATAAGAATTAAAATGCAAACAAAAGCATCTTTGACCAAAAGGTCAAATAGTCTGATAACATTTACTTCCAAGAGAGAAATGAGAAAAGGAAAGTGGCCTGGGTTTCACATTTTGTGTGTGATAAATGGATGTGAGTCTTCAAAAGGAACATGCATCTGAAAGATTACTGAAAATAGATCTTTTAAAAATCGTCCTCTACTGTGGATGACTGAGAAAGAACATGAGATCAGCTTGCCACTTAAGATCAAGGGTCTTTGACAACCATGGTTCCTCCTGAGGTACAGCTGGTAGAGATGGAGTGACTGACACTGTCCTTTAAATTTAAGAATTTACTTGGAGAATGGATGTGATTTTGCCTCTCATACAGACTACATGGTGGAAGCTGCTGTTACGGAATATTTAGGAAGGTTTAACTGTTCTTATGAAAATGTTTAATGTTCTGAAGGACAGTAATGCAAAAATCCTCCACACTAGGGTATTTGACACTGTAAAGCAGCTCAGAATTGAAGGTTAAATGTAGTAATTTTTTTCCAGGTCCTAAACCTTCCTCCCTTTTGTATTGTGTTTTGTTTTTCTTATCTTTTTCCCCCCTTTATTTATTGCAGACTATAGAAAACATAGGTTCTTGGTGCTTCTTTAAATTGTTATTTTTCCAAGTCCAATGTAACTACTTAATTCACTTGAGATGCTTTCTGGATTTATGCACCCTTGAGTATATTCCCTATTTCATGTTAAGCCTCTTCCAACAGACTGTGTTCTGCACATGTTCCCATCTTTGTCGTTCTTCTTGGCAGCTTTGTCTACTTTCATCTTTTCTGTAATTTTATTTTATTTTTTAATAAAATTTTATGAAATTCTCCAAGTAGCAAGTTGTTCTTTCCGAGAGATTGGAAGCAGTAGTTGTTTTCTGCTGTGTAGAATTTCTGACGTTTCTCAGGCTATTTTCTTGTCTTTGCTCTCTGTATGACAGACCTTTGTGATTTTTAAAGGCAATTTTGTTTTTACTGTCATCAGCACACGGCTGCATCCTCCTAACCCTTTTTTCCCAACCATATGGCATCCGCAACTTCAGTTTGCTACAAGGAAAGCAAACAGGGAGAACTGATTGAATCTGGTCGAGACAAATGAGCAGCTTTTTATTTGCCAATCTTTGACCCAGACAGAGGTTCAAAAGCATTCCAAAACTCGCTGTTTCCTAACTCCAGAAACAAATCTTTTAGTTAATTGGTGTTTACAGTTTCAAGCCTGGATTTCATTATGGTTATCCATGCCTCTGTGACTCGGGGACTACTTGAATGTCTGCAGTGCATTTCCTCCTCACAGCTATGCTTGCAGGCAGCTTTAATGCTACAGTAAAGTTGGAATGCAAATATATGCCATGGAAGGGTAGCGCGTGAGAATGACAGTGGCTGAGCCCTTCTTGAAGTGTTCCCAGAGATGAAAAACGTTATCTTCTTCAAAAGACTTTCAAGGAGTTTATGACTGAAACCTGACTTGAATCTTGCAGCCAGATACAGTGTTTAAATCCAGCCTGTATGAATTAAGACTCTTCTGGACTATGCAGTAACCCATCTACTGTTTAGGATAACTTGTTAAAGTAACTGAATATGATAGATGTGTTTATTACTGTGTAACATTCACATCTCAGTAATAATACCATGTTTTCCCTTATTATTGGCCGGAATAAGCCTAACCTTCTTTTAATGTGTTTTTGGTCTGTAGGCTTTTCTGGAGGTGAGTGGAAGACAACTCCAATATTTACTTATCAGCTCCAGCAGTCCTTGACATCACTTAATCACCTAATTGTATCAATATTTGTATCTGTATCTACCAGTTAATAAGCACATTAAAATACATTTTTACAATGATCAATAGTGACATCCCTGTCAGTATTTCTATGAGGCTGAAAAGAAGATGTTATGGGGAGTATTCAGTCAAAAAATACATAAACATTAGAGAAATTATTCAAAAGGCCACAAATTGAGAGTTGCTTATATTAATTTTTTTCCTTTTTTGCATGTATAATAATAAACTGACAAACAAGATCTAATGAAAACTTATGAAGCTCAGATGTTGAGGAATTGCTTCCAGAAATCAGATTTTTTTTTTTTTTAAATAAAACCCCAAAACCAGTTGGGGAACTTCTGAGCTTCAGAGTTAACAGTTATTGACCAAATTAAAAAAAAAAAAAAAAAAAAACAAAAAACCAAACAAAAAACCAACCAACCCACCAACCAAACAAACAAAAAACCCCAAACAACAAAACCCCAAACCAATTCTGCTGCTTTGAGTTGTTTCCCTCTTTTTCTTCGCAGAAATGGCACACATATACATGTATGTGTTACTTTTTACTAGAAAGGATTCTTCAGAAGCCCAGACTGGAAGACAGACAGTTGGGCTTCTCAAGATCAGAAAAGGGGTATTTTGTTGTGCACACTTCCGAGGACTTGGGTTGTCCATGTGAAGGCCAGGGAATGAGGAATAGGGGTGGGTCTTTGCTATGAGCTCATTCAGCAAAATGCTAAACCACAGCTTCCTAAGCTCTATGGCAGTCACTGACAAAGAATGAATGCTTTGTACGGCTGCTTCCCCATGTGCAATTCCTTTCTGCAGTATAAATTGCCTAATTCAGTAGTTGTCTAACGTCATTTCTGCAGTCCCTCATTGGATGCATCAGATTTCAGAATAGTATTCCAAACTGTACATATTTTTTTTCATATTTTAAATCTTGGAATAATGTATAAACAGGGCTTCATTTGCTGTCATACGTTAAAAAAAAAAAGGTATCTTTAATCGTGACCTAAAAATTTTCCTTTTTCTACCAGAGGATTTTGGAGCAAAATAACTTCAAGTGTATGCCCAGAGTTGTTTGCATGAGATATGGAAAACAAACAAACAAACCAATACCAACCTAAAACTCAAGTTTTACTGATGCTGACAACATTTCAGAACACCTCCAGCTGACTGCATAATGATTACTGAGCGCAACTGTCAGATATAACCTAGTAATAAGAATAACACAGACAAAAACCCCACCCAGACTTGGAAACACTTATGCAAGATGTGTCCTTTTTGTCAAAAAGGTCAGCAGTTTAGTTTTGTTTTGTTTTGCTCAAATAGAACATGATGGCATTATTTGGTTGTTTGCATTTTTAAATTCTTAAATTAAATTTATCTGCAATAACAGTTTTGTTTTCTTCCTGAAATGGAGGTTGGGATTTAATTTTGTTGATGGTGCAGTCATCTCTGAAGCCTCATTGTCTAGGAAACAGTGGACTAGCTTTACACATGGCATGGTTAGTATGTGAAAGCAATATATTTTTCAGTCCACATTTACAATTTGAAATTATTTTTTTTAACACAAAAGACCCTCTAGCATATCTCCTTCTTAAGGTGGTGGTGTTTTTTTTCAGCTGCTGTGCTTCCTTAAGAACTCAAGCTGAGTTAAAATCATTTGCACAAGCCATTCTGCTCAGTGTTATTGTAATAGTTGAAGTGAGCTGAGGGAAAACAGCCTGGTCAGGCCAGAGAGGGCTGAAGGAGGTCTGGCAGTGCTCTTCCGTGGTCTGTTCAGGCGCTACAGAGAAGGCAAGAGCAGACAGGCACAGCGAACAGACAAGAGTCCTGTATCGCCACAAGGGATCTTGTAGTTACACAGAAGGCAAAAATTCCTCACCCTAGAGCGGTTTTGTAAAGGCGCAGGTTCTCTGGATGGCGCTGCAAAGTCTCTCCCCACAGCTGCTTCTGCAACTGGAGGCTGGAGATCTTCGCAGAGTTTTTTTGGAAGTACATAATGATGTTTGTGGCTGCTGGGGAGGGATGAGAGAGAAGGAAGAAAGCTGGAAAATTTTATCTATAAAAAGCATGCACAAGAGACTTACGACTACAGGGACAAGACAAAATGTGCCGTTGCTGTCGAATCCTAAGGGTCTTCACGAGAGTACTGAGAGGACCTGTGACAGTGTCCCCTCTTCCACCTTCCCCGATTACCCAATTTATACCAAAAAACAGCCGCGAAAGGGAATTAAAGCAGTGGGTTGCCAAGCCGTGGGGCCGGGCCGTGCTGCTCCCCGGTCACAGAATCACAGACTATCCCGACTTGGAAGGGACTCACAAGGATCCCCGAGTCCAACCCTTAGCCCTGCACAGGACACCCCAAGAATCACACCACGTGCCTGAGAGCACTGCCCAAACTTCTTGAACTCTGTCAGGCTTGGTGCTGTGACCACTTCCCGGGGGAGCCTGTTCCAGTGCCCGACCACTCCCTGGGTGAAGAACCTTTTTTCTACTATCCAACCTAAACCTCCCCTGACACAGCTTCAGGCGGTTCCCTCGGTCCTCCCGGTCTCGCCACGCCCGGCCCCGGGACGGGCGCAGAAGCCCTGAGGGCAGCCCCTGCCTCTGCCCGCTCCGCAGGGTGCGGATATCCCGCGGGCCGGCTTGGGATGAGCTGCCGGGGTTAAGAGGGCCCCGCTCCGGCCGTGTGTCCGTGTGCGTGTCTGTGTGTGCCTGTGTGTGTGAGCGGGCGGCCGCGGGGTCTGCGCTGCCCGGCGGGGGCGGTGCTCGCTGCAGCGCCGGCCCCGCTGCCGGGCGGTCACGGCGGGGGCGGGGAGCGCGGCCCCAGCGCCCGGCATGAACCCGCGGCGGGGGCACGGAGGCGGCGGCGGTGCCGAGGTACGAACACCCGCCCCCGGCAGGTGCAGGGTCCTTTTCTTCCCCCGCCGCCGACCGCGGCACCGCCTGTCCTTGCGGGGCCGGGGCTCGGCGCGGTGCCGCCCGCGGAGCGTCGAGCGGAGCCCAGCCGAGCCGGCGGGGCGGGGAAGGGTGAGGGAAGGGAGGGGAAGGGAAGGGAAAGGAAAGCAAAGCAAAGCGTGCCAGGCCCGGCCGCGGGCGCGGGAGAACCGAGGTGAACCCGCGGTCTGCGCCTGCCCGCCCGGCCCGGCGCTCCCGCCTCCCCCGCGCTCACGCCGCCCGCCCCCCTCTCTCCCTCCGCAGGGAGCCGCAGGGCGAGCGGCGCTGCCGCGGCCGGGCCAGCCACCCCCGGGTCCATGAGCCGCCGCCAGCCGCCGCCGCCAGCCGGGACCGCCGCCGCCGGGCCCAGCTCCTCCAGCCCCGCCGCTTCCGCCGCCGCTCCGCCGCCCCGCCGGAGGTGAGTCCCGCGGCCGAGCCGCCGCCGCCCCGCGGGCCCCGGCTCCTGTCAGCCGCGCCGGGGCGCGGGGAGGCCACCGGCAGCCGCGGGAGCGCCCGCCGCCTTTCTGGGGAGGAGGAGGTGGGGGCCGGCTGGGACCCCCTCCCCGGGGCTGTGCGCCCCGCCGGGCAGCGCGGGCTGGGGTCCCTCGCAGCCCGCGGAGGGCAGGCGGCGCTGCCGGAGGGTCGTGCCGCATCTTTCGCGCCCCCCCTGAGCGGAGGTCGGTGCCTCCCCGGTGACTCACGGCGGAGGCGGGAGCGGGCTGGGTCCGGGGCCGGCGGCCACCCGCGCCTCTCCCTGCCCCTCGCCCCGCTCGGAGAGCGCTACCTGTGTCACCTTGTTTTCCCTCTCCCCGCAGGACGGTCCCGCGCCCTCCGCTGTGAAGAGCATGGCCGTGACTCTAGAGCAGGCCCGGCGGGTGGGCTATACCTGCCTGAAAGCACTCCTCAGGTTCGCTTTTATGGTCGCCAATAACCTGGTCGCTATTCCGTCGTACGTCTTGTATTTAATTATGCTGCAGCCTCTCCGAATGCTGGATAGTAAAAGCTTCTGGTATATCGAAGGAGTGTTATTTAAGTGGCTTTTAGCTATGGTGGCTTCCTGGGGCTGGTGGGCAGGATACACAGGTAAGAATGTCTCATTAATTTAAAATGTACTAATATAAAGATGTAAATAAGTGTTAAAACTGAGATGTTTTCGTATGGGGATGTGTAGGGGAATGTCTGAACGTAGTGGATATGTGGGATGTTTTTCTTTCGGTTTTCTTACACAGATGTGTTGTGTTTCTGGGTTGAGATGCTGTGTACTGAAACGTTTTTTTAAACCATAGCTAGAAACTTAATATGTGTTAGGGGTTTCTCAATCAACATTTTGTCTTAATATAAATGAGAAATATTATTTTTCCTAAGTATCTAGATCACTTTATTTTAGTATTTCGTGAAAAAGGTACATCTCTTCAAAACAGAGTTGATTTGTACTGTGCATGTAGCTGACAGATCTAAACTTTTCTTTATTAAGTCTGTGCATCTCTAAGTCGTCTTTCCTTAGAACTATCAGGACACAAGGCTAAGAAGTGTTACACGAAGTTCATGTCGGAAGAGTAGGTCTTCTATTCCTTGCAACAGCGACTGTCTTCTCTGCAGCTTCAGAGTGAAGGGAAACAGAGGGAACCTCTTTCATTCGAGTAGTGATACACAGTATTTCTCAACTGTATGACTCTTCATTTACTGTTAGCAGAGCTAATTACAGTATCTGTAGTGTTTTTACCCTCTGCATGCTTGGTTTGTGGTTATTATTAAACTTGGTTTTGCTCATTTAGTATTCATAGGCTCATCAAGGTGATGGACTGAACCGAAATATTAAGGAAGGCTCTAGTCTTGTCCTCGAATGCACTGATTTTCATCCTGGCTGCTGCACTTTGTGCAAGAGAAACAGCCATCAGTTCTTTGTATGTGCTTAGAAAAGGGAGGAAATTAGTCTGCTGAGTGCCATATATGAGCAGGCCTCCTAAAATTCTTTCCCTCTCTTCTGCCCAGGCTGCATCTGCAGGTCTTGTCCATGTAAACAAGGAAAAAAAGGAATGGCAGCACGCAGCTCTGGAGTCTGGTCAGACTCCTGATTAGTCAGAAAGTCAGTGTTGACCCAGACGGAGCACTCTTTTTGTTAGGCAACAAGAGCTGAAGCTTCTGTGATAATGTGCCTTTTGATACCCTGTCGTGTGCCTTTCCGAGATGCACAAAGTTTCTGTGGATACTCTAGGTGAGCTTCTAGTTCTTCTTAAGGAGATGGCGGCAGCAGCAGCAAGCTAGATTCTGGTCTGTCGGGCTAGAACTGTTGCAACGTTGCACTGCTTCAAAATTGCCTTGCCTGGTACAGCTCAAGCTTATCCAGATACGCTGTTTAAAAATCTTTTTATGTGTTTGTATTTGCTCATTAAAAGAAGTCCACATGGTGTTTGCAGTGGCAGGTACATTTGTAAAAGTCTGCTCTATGCCTTAAAGCACAAATGCCTTCCAGAAGGAAGGATCGACTTTTAAGGTGTTGTGCGTTTTATTAATTGGAAATGGGAAAGTTTAGGGGCATAATGGTGATGTTAAAGTCATACAGCTTATGGCCCCGAGGATTCACTGTGTATATTGAATGTGCTAGTTAAAATTCAAGCCATTGTCCCATGACATTATGGTTGTCAATTCCTGAAGGCAGTTTCCTCAGGGTAGTTCTACCGCTGACTGCAGAACTGTGTGGTTTCTTTTGCCTATTGCTTGGAAAGTGGTCTTAGCATGATCTGCATATCCTGGAGTCTTCCTGAAGCATCTGTTGATTGGCGTTGCTCATGTATCTTGACTATTTGAAATCATTTGTTTTACAGTCTTGAAATGTCTTAGTATACTTGTTTGAGCTATCATTGATGAACAGCTACGCAGAAGTGTTTTATGGGATGGTGTATGGGTAAGGAGGCCCTTCTTTTTGCTTTTCACTATAAAGCATGGCTTTTGGGGAGGATTTTAAGCAAATGCTTGTCTGAAGTTTTAGTTTAAATACATTTTATTTGACCTGAAGACATTATTGTGTTTTATACCGAAAGCTACAAAATAGCAAGAACAGCTTATTTCTTTGTCCTTTCTTTAACCTCATCAGTGCTCACCACCACGTGCAGAACAAACCTGGAAAGTGTATCTTTCTGGCTTCAACATATGTTAGCAGAGCAATTTACCTGGTTTTTTTCCAGATTGATAGATTTATACAAGACTGTCACTAGGTCCCCTCTTTTTATATAGTATGACATAACTAATTCAGAACTGAAATTCTACTTCGTTAGAGTTGGTGTCGAAGACTTGCAGTGGTGCATCTGAAAGAGGCGTTGCTCCAGGATTCTTCTGTTTTCAATTCCAAAAGCTAAGTCAAAGATAGGCTTTGGTATCTTCGATCTTTGCAAAAGTAAATAAATACAAGATAGTAGGTATGCATGGGTTCATTGAAAAGATTAAAGATTTTTCTTTTGAGTAGCAGAGTAGTTGGTGAGGGCTTTTTTTGTTTGTTTGCTCTTTGTTAAGAGGGTAACCAGCTAAATAAGTTTACTTGTTGTTTAATTGGAAGGAGTGTTCTGCTTTAATTGTGTTGAAGGTGTGTTTTAGTTTTTTAGTTTATTTACTTTTTCCCTTTGCAAGCTTGGGTCATCTGTTGGGTAAGAAGTGACATAAACCATTCGTAATTTGGGACTTAAACTCAGCCGGCAAAGTAGATTCAGGGCAGACTTTTTTTACTCCTGTAAGTTTGTATGTAATGTGTAGGAGAGAGCTTGACACCAAATGAAGAAAATATGGTGAGTGCTAACTTATCCTTCTGGGCTTTGCTGCTGTTGTGTAATTGTTAGTATATTTTATTGAGTATAGCTGGAAGAGCTGAGGAACACTCATGAACTAGGTCTGCCCTTCTCTTCCCCACCCGTGCCTAAACCTGTGGTTTTGTGTTAGGATCCTAGAGGATTTGTTACAGAAATTACATGATCTGTGTCCATATTGGCAGCTCTAATCCGTGCTTTTTGATAAATGTAGGTGTTTCTGTTTGCAGATGCACTTGATGTTACGTAAAGAGATAGCATATAACTGGACAAGCAAAATAAAGAAAGGAATGGAAGAGAAATTGAAGAGGTCACTCTCCTTTCTCTAATCTTTTTCTTCTTAAGATGCAAGTATGAGAGAGAACTTGGGTATAATTGGTTGCCTTTGATTTTTAAAGGGCAAGTGTGATAAATATCTGTGTTGTTCTCTTGAGCTCTGTAGTGCTTCTTATGAAAATGAAAACTGAGTGTCTTTTTATGAAGAATGTTCAGACAGTCTAGCAATATTATTTTATTTTTATATGATTTCAGAAAGGTCTTCTTATAACTCTAAGTCTCTTTTTTAAAAGGCTTTTTATATAAATGTACTGCTCTCCTAGGAGCTATTCAGTTAGGGCACTTGGAATCTGCATATTAGTGTGATTTGAAAGGCACCTTTGAATAATACTTCTAAATGTTTTCCTGCATTTGTTGGAAGATGCATTCTAAAAAAAGCAAACTCGAGAGTGCTTGTTCCTTTGTTGGCAAGTACCTTTTTTCTCCTGCACTGTAATTTGTCGTTTAATATACAAGTACACCAGATAGCACTAAATAGTGCAGCAGATGTAATGGGAGGGAGATGGAGCATATCAGTGGTGGTGAATTTCTGATGACCTTTTGCTCACTTACAAAACTAGTTTTACAGCAACCGTCTTATAGATTTGATCTTCTTTGGTCAAGTAACTATTGCAGACCAAAGTTTAATATCCCTGTATCTAATCAAATCACCAAAAATAGGACTGCTAGAGAGAAGCTTGCTTTGCTTGATTACACTCAAACAAACTGTTTTGTTGCCTTCTCCTGCTGTCTAGCTGCAGGAGTACGTGTGAGCCTGTGATAGCGTTGTTGCAGTATTGCAATTAGGAGTCTCTAGGACGGCAGAGTAATGGGTTAGCAATGCAGTCTTGATACTCACTATGCTGATCCTCTACTTCTCTCTGCTCCACACAGTCCCACTGCAGGGAGCGGTGCTGTGTGCCCAGCCTGTGTCTCTGGCTGGGATAGGGAGGAGCTGGTGGAGAGTGAGCGTCCTCTGCCTGCAGCCATGTCAGCTCCTCTGCCTGTCAGAGCACCAGGGGAGAGGAGGTTACATGTGATCAGCAGGGTTCTGTGCACCTTGGGGAGGGGTTTTCTTGAGAGTTGTGCTTGGAATATTTCATACTCCAGCAGTGAAGAGGACACCTTGACAAAACCTTCTGTTTCAGCCTCTTGACGACACACACTGTCTTGCAATAATGTTGGGCAGGTTGATGGGTCGTGGACTGATGAAAGAGTAATACGCCTCTGTTACCACACACAAAAAAGTCTTAATGGTGTGAGTATGCTTGCTAGTATAATGA